TGCTTATAGTCAATTCGACATATTGTTTCAAATAATGAACTGTTATTCACTGTTTTATTTAAGACAGTATATTGGGGTGTATTTGATTAAAATGCTTATAGTCAATTCAACATCTTACTTCATTTAATAACTAATTCATGTGTTTTATTCGAGCACAGTGCTTTTAATTTCTTAAAACTGTTTGGGATATTTCATCTGCTCAGAAAGACTTAAGAATCCGCAACAATATTCAGACGCATAAAGGATACCTAATTAAGTTCAGCACATGTTAAAACTTACTTTAAATGTGTAATTAAATTAATCACTATTTATGTGCTTTATTCAAGCACAATGCTATTTCTTTAAACTCATTTTTGTGACATTTCATCTGATCAGAAAGGTTTAAGAGTCTGTGACTAACCAGATAGACGCATAAATACCTCCTCATTAATTTCCAGAGTTGTTTTAAAACTTTGCTTTAAAATATATAATGAAGTTTTATTTTATAAGCTTTTATTTGTCATCAATGCTATTTCTTTAAACTCATTTTGTTTCATTCTCCTCAGCAGGCAATATGGATGGTGCAGTGCCGGCTGAAAATCCGTGTCAGACCTCTTCATGTTCATAATTTCGGCGTTCTGTGAACATTATCCTGATATAATAAAAACTTTCCCTGAAAACATTCCTCTCAGTCACACCAAGCAAATTGCCCCGTCATAAACACACACACACACACACACACACAACATTCCTCTCAGTCACACCAAGCAAATTGCCCCGTCATGAACACACACACACACACACACACACACACACACACACACATAGCCATAAACTCCGGAAACACATGGTCGGGGTCAGAAGTTCACATACCATCTGGTGGTCATAAAACCCCCTCCCTACTACACATCCTGTCAAAACTTTCTGTCAACCAAATGATCGAACGCTCATTAGGGCAAAGGTTAATCCATCAATCCCGGAAACGGGAAGGGCTAGGTCAAAGGTTAATCCATCAACCCCGGAAACCGGGAGGGGTAGGTCAAAGGTTAATCCATGACCCCGGAAACAGGAAGGGCAAGGGGAGGGGCAAGGTCAAAGGTCACCATCAATCATTTTGACACAAGCTGCAGTATAATAACTACTCAGATTCACTTTTATGATGGATAGATGCACTTTTATGATGGATAGATTCACTTTTTATGATGGAAAGATTCACTTTTATGATGGATAGATACACTTTTATGATGGATAGATGCACTTTTATGAGGGACAGATTTACTTTTATGATGGATAGATGCACTTTTATGATGGATAGATTCACTTTTATGATGGACAGATGCACTTTTATGATGGATACATGCACTTTTATGATGGATAGATTCACTTTTATGATGGATAGATGCACTTTTATGATGGATAGATGCCCTTTTATGATGGATAGATTCACTTTTATGATGGACAGATGCACTTTTATGATGGACAGATGCACTTTTATGATGGATAGATGCACTTTTATGATGGACAGATGCACTTTTATGATGGATAGATGCACTTTTATGATGGATAGATGCACTTTTATGGAATTCGAAACAGAAATGGCCATTCACTGCCATTATAAAGCTTGGAAGATCCAGGACATTTTTTAATATAACTCTGATTGTTTTCGTCTGAAAGAAGAATGTCATATACACCTAGGATGTGTTGAGGGTGAGTAAATCAAGGGCTCTTTTTCATTTTAAAGTGAACTACTCCTTTAATGGCAGGACGCATGTGTACAGATTTGTGTGCACATCTCAGTCCCTTTATTCCCCACGGAGTCTCCTATAATGATCAGACAGTAGTTGTAGTGTATTGAGTAGAATGCACTTGAGTAAACTCAGGAATAAGCATTGCTTGGCCATTCTAGGTTAACTCTGGGTTAGAATTTGGTTGGCCAGTTAGTTGTCTAATAGAAGAGAAACAAAGTTGGTCATTCTGATATTGCACAGTAAAAATTATTTATACTCTGATTTGTATTGTTTAAATAGACAAACACAAAAGTTGGCGATGAGGATTTTTGGTTATCATATGGAAGCGCTGTCTCCTAGCTTTTTTTTCCTTCAGATTGGCATTTTTTTCTCGGAGAAGTGATAAAAAGAGAGAAGAAACCCAGCCTCATGGAGATTGAGGGGTAGATTCAGCGCAAAATAGAAAATTGGACTTTGTACTGTGAACGAATCAAGCAGTATTTCAAAGCTAATGACTGTTCCCTATGCTATTCGCCAGAAAGTAGAAAATGAGCCGGATCGGTTGGAAGCTGAAGAAATACTTTCAAAGGTTGACTGGAGTCCCTGGGCAACTCCAGTTGTTCCTGTTGCCAAGAAAGATGGAACTGTTAGACTTTGCTGGGATTTTAAAGTCTCAGTCAACCCTGATTTGCAGGCAGAACAATATCCACTACCAAGAATAGAGGATATTTTTGGTACACTTGCAGGTGGACAGCTCTTTAGTAAAATAGACTTGGCGGAAGCATATTTACAGATGGAAGTGAAGGAGGACTCAAAAGTGTTCTTGACTATCAATACTCTCAAGGGCTTGTATCGCTATAACAGGCTTGTTTTCGGCATCGCCTCAGCACCGGCCTTATGGCAAAGGGCTATGGATCGGGTACTTCAGGGTTGCCCTGGTAGCCAATGTTACCTCGATGACATCATCGTCACAGGTGACAGTGTGAGTAGTCACTTGGAGAACTTAGCACGAGTTTTAAAGAGATTGGAAAAGTATGGACTGCGTGCAAGACGTGACAAGTGTGAGTTTTTCAAGGACACCATCACGTATTGTGGACACAAAAGTGATGTGAATGGTCTGCACAAGTGTCACAACAAGCTAAGAGCTGTTGCAGAGGCTCCAGAACCGGAAGATGTCTCACAATTGAGGTCCTTCCTTGGATTTGTCAATTACTACAAAATCTGGCTACTGTTCTCCATCCTCTAAATGCCCCGTTACAAGCAGGAAAGAAATGGACGTGGACAAAGCAATGCAGAGAAGCTTTTCAGGAAGCAAAGAAACTAGTGATGTCAGATACAGTTCTGACTCACTATGACCCACACAAGCCACTAAAGTTGGCATGCGATTGCTCAGCATACGGCATTGGGGCGGTGCTGTCACATGTGATGGGGGATGGAACGGAGCGCCCCATAGCTTTTGCATCACGCCCCCCCTTAGTGCTGCACTGAAGAAATATGCACAGATTGATAGGGAAGCTTTGAGCCTGGTATGGGGCGTAAAACGATTCAATCAGTATCAGTATGGAAACAACTTTACCTTGGTTACGGACCATCAGCCGTTGGTTTCCATCCTCACTCAGAAAGGAGTTCCACTGACAGCAGCAGCACAGATGCAAAGGTGGGCGTTGTTTCTTGGAGGATATAGAACGTAAGCACACCTTTGGACGTTTTTACAATTGCTCAGCTTGAGAGTTCTCCTGTTACAGACGAAATGATTCAGAGAGAAACCAGGAGAGATCCTGCATTGTTTCAGGTATATTTAGCTATACAGTCTGGCTGGAATGCAGAGCAGAAGATTTGTTTCACACAATTTCATCAGTGCCGTGATGAACTAACTCTAGATGGTGGTTGTGGGGATTAAGAGTTGTTGTACTTCCTAAGTTGCGAACTCGAGTTTTGGAGGAGCTTCATGTTGGGCATCTAGGAGTGGTAAAGATGAAATCACTTGCTAGAAGCTTTGTATGGTGGCCTGGAATAGATCAGCAGATCGAGCAGCTCGCCATGCATTGTTCAGGATGTCAACATGTGCAAAAGATGCCAAAGACTGCACCACTACATCCTTGGGAGTGGCCTGCGTTAGCATGGCAAAGGATCCATGTGGACTTTGCGGGTCCTTTCATGGGCACCACATTTCTGGTTGTGGTCAATGCGTGTTCAAAGTAGCCAGAAGTGTTCAGTATGACCTCCACAACCGCCGCCCAAACTGTGACGGTTCTGAGAGAACTTTTTGCAAGGACTGGTGTACCAGAACAGCTGGTGAGTGACAATGGTATCAAACATGTGACCTCAGCGCCCTACCACCCAGCTACAAATGGCTTAGCTGAGAGATTTGTGCAAAGCTTGAAAAATGCACTAGGGGCCATGACATGTGAAAAGATCACACTGAACCAGAAGCCACACAATTTTTTGTTGTATATATCGAAATGCAACTCATGTCACCAAAAATCAAACACCTGCCATGTTGTTCCTGGGTAGAGCCTTACGTTCAAGGCTGGATTTGTTTAAACCCAATTTCAGGAGGACTGTACACGACAGACAGATGAAGCAATCACAAGGAGGAGGAAAAACGAGAGAGTTGGAAATAGGAGATAGTGTGCTTGCTAGGAACTACAGAGGAGATCATAAATGGACTCCTGCAAAAGTCAAAGAAAGAACAGGACCACTCTCATATACAGACGACACATTGATCAGTTGAGAAGATCAAATGTTTATCTGGAAAGTGTTCCCACAAGTGTTCCATTCACCACTGCTGATACTGTTTCCAGTGGAAGTGATGCAACAACACTTCAAGATGGCACTGTATCTTCCAGTGAAGTGCCACAAGCACTATTTCCAACCTGTGAAGAGAAACGTTACCCTACCCGTGCACGGAAAACACCAAACCGTCTGGATTTGTGAAAAGAAACCTAGAGTGGGACATTATAGTCATACAGTAGCATAAGTTTGTTCCTTTAAAAAAAAAATGTTTTGTTAAAAGAGAAATATTGTTTGTTTAAGATTTTCTTATCTAAGGGGGGAGGAAGTGTAGTGTATTGAGTAGAATGCACTTAGAGTAAACTCAGGAATACTGCTTGGCCACTCTAGGTTAACTCTGGGTTAGAATTTGGTTGGCCAATTAGTTGTCTAAAAGAAGAGACACATGTGTTCACAAAGTTGGTCATTCTGATATTGCACAGTAAAACAAATGAAGAATTGCCCATCGTTGTCTTGACTCTGATTTGTATTGTTTAAATAGACAAACACAACAGTAATCACCAGTCTGACGTGTTCTCGCTTGAGGTACTTCTCGCTGTAGAACTGCTCCTGTCTCAGCGTGAGGAGCTGCTGCTGCTGCTGATCCTTCAGTTCACTGAGTTTCTGACCTCTCTCCTGCTCCAACGCCATCAGATCCGGATTCTGATGGGAGACGCTCCTGCAGGGACACGAGTGTTCAGACCCACCGAACCAGCGCAAACACAGGCCCACCTCAACCAACTTACTGAACTCACCCACCTCACCCAGCCCACTCACCTCACCCAACTCACCCACCTGACCCAGCTCACCCAACACATTCAGCTCATCCAGCTCACCCAACTCACCCAGCCCACCCAACTCACTCACCTGACCCAGCTCACCCAACACATTCAGCTCATCCAGCTCACCCAACTCACCCAGCCCACCCAGCTCACCCAGCCCACCCAGCTCACCCAGCCCATCCAACTCACCCAGCCCACCCAACTCACTCACCTGACCCAGCTCACCCAACACATTCAGCTCATCCAGCTCACCCAACTCACCCAGCCCACCCAGCTCACCCAGCCCACCCAGCTCACCCAGCCCATCCAACTCACCCAGCCCATCCAACTCACTCAGCCCATCCAACTCACCCACTTCACCCAGCTCACCCAGCTCACCCAACTCACCCAACTCACCCAGCCCACCCAGCTCACCCAGCCCATCCAACTCACCCAGCCCATCCAACTCACCCAGCCCATCCAGCTCACCCAGCCCATCCAACTCACCCAGCCCATCCAACTCACCCACTTCACCCAGCCCACCCAGCTCACCCAACTCACCCAACTCACCCAGCCCACCCAGCTCATCCAACTCACCCAGCCCATCCAACTCACCCAGCCCACCCAGCTCACCCAGCCCATCCAACTCACCCAGCCCATCCAACTCACCCACTTCACCCAGCTCACCCAGCTCACCCAACTCACCCAACTCACCCAGCCCACCCAGCTCATCCAACTCACCCAGCCCATCCAACTCACCCAGCCCACCCAGCTCACCCAGCCCATCCAACTCACCCAGCCCATCCAACTCACCCACTTCACCCAGCTCACCCAACTCACCCAACTCACCCACTTCACCCAGCTCACCCAACTCACCCAGCTCACCCACCTCACCCAACTCACCTCTTCTGCAGGGCCGACCTGCGCCGCAGGAACTCGCTCAGCAGATGCTTCTGTTTCGACACGTGTTCGTTGATCAAGTCATTGGTTTTCTTGTTGTGTTTCTTCATGACCTCCTTTAATTCCTTGTACTGCCTCTTCTTTTCCCTCGAATAACCTTTCAGCTGTTTCAGTTCATCTACAGTCTGAGCGTCCACCTCTGTCAAGCACACACACACACACACAAAAAGGTGTCCAGACGTCCTTGTTTTCCGGGGACAGTCTCAGTTTTTGGTGTTCTGTCCCCGGAAATGTCCCTGTTTTACAGTTCGTTCAACATAAAGCAGCCTGCTGGTTATAGGAGCGATCGTGTAGTGATAATTTCCGCCAACAAATGGCGCTGCGAGCTACACTGGTTCTACTTGGTCAAGCATGCATCTCTACTTCATGAAGAACGTAACCTGGACGAGACAAGAGCAGAGCACCGTTATCGTCAAATATCAAAAGAAACATTGTTATTGCTTTCAAGGTAGTAGCATACTAGCTATTCATGATAAATGAAAGTAATATTGTTTGTATGTGCTTTATAATAGTTCTACTTCTACGCTAATATTAGTGTCTTTGTTTATCCCGAGGTTTTCCCGCAGCCTGCCGGATCCAGGCCGTGTCCAGATCTGACGAAGGAGATTCACCTGGACCCGATGACAATGCAGTGCTGAAGTATCCACTATCCTCTCCCTATGGAGGATCCCTTTCCCACTCTACAGATAAAGCGCTGTGAATTCAGTTCGCGTACCCCGAAGTGATAAAATAAAACAAAATTCCGTATCAAAATTTATAGGCAAGAAAAGTAGTTTGTTTAGGCTGGGTTGTATGAATTACAAACCTGCGCACATATTTTAAAAAGCACATAACTATAGAATTCTGAATGAGCATGTGAACGCCGTCAGCGTTAATCACAGGTTCGCGTTTAAAGTCTGATCATTTCGACGGAGGTGAATCAATCAAAGTTAACTTTAGCTGGAAGTAACATTATTCAAGAACCGCTATAACGCCAAACAATCTGTTACCTTAAATTATATGTTTATCTCTGTAAAGCTGCTTTGAAACAATCCATTGTTAAAAGCGCTATATAAATGAAGATGACTTGACTTGACTAATAGGGTGCGTGATTGTTTTGCACAAGTTTAAACATCCCCAAATGTTCCACAGTCCCAACGCCGTAATTTACACTCATCTTAAATATATATATACACACACTATATTGGCAAAAGTATTTGGACAACCCTCCAAATCATTGAATTCAGGTGTTCCAATCACTTCCATGGCCACAGTTGTATAAAATCAAGCACCTAGGAATGCACACTGGTGGGAATCAGTGGTGTAAAGCGTGGGATGCAGTGGTGCCAAGCAGTCGTCATTGAACTCTAGAGCAGTGGACACGTGATCTTTGGAGTGACGAATCACGCTTCTGATGGACGAGTCTGGGTTTGGTGGTTGCCAAGAGAACTGTACATGCCTGACTGCATTGTGCCAAGTGTAAAGTTTGGTGGTGGAGGGGGGGTGGAGGGGGGGTTATGGTGTGGGGTTGTTTTCAGGGTTTGGCTTCTTAGTTCCAGTGAAAGGAACTCTTAATGCTTCAGCTTACCAAGACATTTTGGACAATTTCATGCTCCCAACTTTGTGGGAACAGTTTAGGGATGTTCCTGTTCCAGCATGACTGTGCTCCAGTGCACAAAGCAGGACCATAAAGACATGGATGAGGAGTTTGGTGTGGAGGAACTGGACTGGCAAAGGGTCCTGACCTCGACCCGATAGAACAGCTTTGGAATGAGTTAGAGCGGAGACTGAGAGCCAGGCCTTCTCGTCCAACATCAGTGCCTGACCTCACTAATGCACTTCTAGAAGAATGCTCAAAAATTCCCATAAACACACTCCTAAACCTTGTGGAAAGCCTTCTCAGAATAGTTATTGCTGTAAAGGGTGGGCCAACTCCATATTAAACCCTACTAATTAAGAATGGGATGTCAATAAAGTTTCATGTCCATGTAAAGGCAGACGTCCCAAAACCTTTGGCATATATATATATATATATAGTCAAGTCACCTTCATTTATAAAGCGCTTTAAACAGTATGGATTGTTTCAAAGCAGCTTTACAGTTATTGTAGAAATTACCATAACAGATTGTTTAGGCAGTACAACAGCATTAGGATAAAGTTATTGTCCAGCTAAAGTTACGAAGATCATTAGTTATTAACTTAGGGGCCGCTAACACGACACCGCTCTAACAGAAAAATTCTTAATGCGCTCCGGCCGCTCGTCCGCACAAAACAGTGCCTGTGTCTCGAGAACGCACTCCCTGAAATAGGTTCGAAGGTGCAAAAGATTATCCTGCATCTCTGCACAAACCTCAAAAACGCAAACCCGCGAAAATGACGGCGTGCACATGCGTATTACATGTTCAGTTTGAATATATATGTGCGCAGGCATGTAGTCCTTCTTCACAAATCAACCCTCAACAAACTACTTGTCTGGTCTTAAAAATATATAATACAGAAATTTGTCGCGTCTGCGTAGCCACGCGAACCGGAATTATCCCGACAACGCTTTTATCTGTACAGGGGTAAAGGGAGGGAGGCCTTCACAGGGGACCGACTAGTTGACACTTCATATACATAATTAAAGAATTACACTTGCAACAAATACATTTACAGAATACACATAAGCCTATAATGTAAAAAAAAAACAAGTCCAATTAAGAATTGTATAATCATTTTCAAGCACAAACGTCACAAAACATTTGAAGTAAAAAAGTTGTAATTTCTGTATACAGTATAAACAGCTTGTGAAAATGAAACAGCTCTGCAGTCATTATTCAGTTCAGTTCAGTCCAAGTTCTGTTCTCATCTGATAGTGTCAGATCAGTAATATTGCTGGATATTACGCGTTTTTTTAACATGTCTATGTCCTTAAGAATGTGTATGATCATGAGATCAAAATCATTTAATCATTGATGAACTTTATAACTTTACTTAACCGATCTGAATGATGACTCTATTGTCTTCTGTAGAGCTGGATCTGAATGTCTCTCATATCTGATGACGCTTTTGCTTCATTGATTCTGTTATTTTCCTGTTTATTTATTGTGAAGCTGCTTTGAAACAATCTGAACTGTATAAAGCGCTGTGGAAATAAAGCTTAAATCAGTGTAAGGAAGTATTTGAGGAGCTCTAATCATCGTTTACACCTGGATCAACATCCGTCTCTGGGGATCTGATCATCTGAACCACTGAACATCTGAGATCAGATCAAACCGTGACACACTGCAGAGCCGTACCTGTTAAAACACTCTGAACGACGTCCTCAGGCCTCACAGCGGGTTTGAGCGACCCTGAAAAATACAGAGAGACGATGAGCTGCTGATTCAGCGGCGCTGGACGCCGGTCACACACACACACACACACACCTGAGGACGGAGTCTGCTGACGGACACACACACACACACACACACCTGAGGACGGAGTCTGCTGACGGACACACACACACACCTGAGGACGGAGTCTGCTGACACACACACACACACCTGAGGACGGAGTCTGCTGACACACACACACACACACACACCTGAGGACGGAGTCTGCTGACGGACACACACACCTGAGGACGGAGTCTGCTGACGGACACACACACACACCTGAGGACGGAGTCTGCTGACGGACACACACACACACCTAAGGACGGAGTCTGCTGACACACACACACACACACACACCTGAGGACGGAGTCTGCTGACGGACACACACACACACACACACCTGAGGACGGAGTCTGCTGACGGACACACACACACACACACACCTGAGGACGGAGTCTGCTGACGGACACACACACACACACACACCTGAGGACGGAGTCTGCTGACGGACACACACACACACACACACCTGAGGACGGAGTCTGCTGACGGACACACACACACACACACACCTGAGGACGGAGTCTGCTGACTGACCACGGAGGGTTTGGGCGAGACGCTGTCGTGGCTCAGCCCGTTCTCTGGTGCCGCCGCCGGGTTCGGGTCAGTCATGACCTCTGACACCAGATCACCTCCTCCATTCACCTGCACCAATCACACGACAAACAATAAAACACATACAGATCTACAGGTGAACCACAGCAGACGTGAGAAAGACTGAACTGAACCTGGAGTATCATATTTACGAATCATTTTATAGAACTCATAATGAAGCAACGGAAAACTAGAATCTACATTATACTATAATATTTCCATGGTTTTAATGGTCTTTTCTAGGACTGGAAATTCCCATGTGCGTCCTGGACTGTTACTAACGGCTCACAGAAAACCAACAAGGTCTTGGTCTTAAATCAAGCTTCAACCAGATGAAACTACGATATTTAATGATCAAAAACATCATACCTGCATATCTGTCCAGAGTGTGTAAATGTACCGATGGAAACCCACTCTCAGCATGACTACACTGATCCTCAACCCAACCGCTCTAACACTAGCTCTCACCTGTCAGTCTGACTCTGCAGGGCTATAACTGCGGCACAAACCGTTGCTAGCGGATCTCGCTGATTCAGCTGGACCGAGAGAGAGAGGAGCACTCTCAAAACCAACATCTAGATAAAAACCGAAATTATACTTCTTATTTTAATCCGTTCCCTCGTCTGCTGTCATTTTGATTGAAGAGCCAGGATTCTCTCTGGTGTATGAGGGAAAAAAGTTATTTCTAGAGCAGAAAAAGTCAGCAAATTTGCTATAAAATCATTTCTAATTAAGTCAAGCTTTTATCTGGTTTTATCTAGTTTAAAGAGATCTTATTCCAGAATCAAAGACGACTGGAACAGTCATGTAGTTTCAGTGTGAACCCTGAAAAATATTCAGCTAAATGAACTAAGAGAAGAACTGAGCGTGTGCAGACTCAGAGAACATGCCTGTCGTCATAGACACAGACACGCCTGGCAACTGTACTGCACTTAACACACACACACACACACACACACACACACACACACACACACACACACACACACACACACACACACACACACACACTCACACACACACACACACACACACACACACACACACACACACACACACACACACACACACACACACACTCACACACACACACACACACACACACACACACACACACTCACACACACAAACACACACACACACACACACACACACACACACTCACACATTCTTACATGCACTCACACAAACACACACTCAATCACACACAAACACACACACACACACACACACACACACACACACACACACACACACACTCACACATTCTTACATGCACTCACACAAACACACACTCAATCACACACAAACACACACACACACACACGCACACACACACACACACACACACACACACACACACACACACACACACACACACAAACACACACACACACACACACACACACACACACACACACACACACACACACACTCACACATTCTTACATGCACTCACACAAACACACACTCAATCACACACACACACACACACACACACACACACACACACACACACACACACACACACACACACACACTCACACACACAAACACATTCTTACATGCACTCACACAAACACACATACACACACACACACACACACACACACACACACACACTCACACAAACACATTATACATGTACTCACATTCAATCACACAGACACACACACACACACACTCACATACGCACACACACACACACACACACACACACACACACATTGTAGGGCCGCGCATTAGGCTGTGTGACACCAAACGACTAATCGACAACAAAAGTGTTTGTCCACAATGTTTGTCAACACAGTTTATAATGTTTCAGCCCTATGATCATCATTATCATCATCATCATCACCACACATACAGAGCCGTTCATGTTCACATTCATGTTAGTTCACCAGCTCGGTCAGTATTTGAAGGAAAATGTCTAGGTTACGACTATAACCTCTGTATAACCTAGAACAGGGACCTCGCACTCGACGACGCTTTGGGGGGGAACGCCTCCACGTGAACCGGTGTCTGAAACTCTTATCTAATCACGGCAATCCTATTGGCCGGCGACAGCCTATGATGTCACTATTAGTGCAACCCGGAAGTATATCAGGGGAGCCTGGAGAACATGTCAACAACTTATCATCTGAAGGGACTGTTCAGCATGCATGGCTAGCGACGCAGTGTCCCGTTCCCTGTTCTCAGGGATCAGAGGTTACAGTCGTAACCTAGACGTTCCCTTTCGAAAGGGAACTCGCACAGTGTCAATGACGCTTTGGGGAACGATATACAAACCCACCATGCTGAGGGGAGTGCATACCAAATTATAGCTGTGACAAAAAAACGTATCCCTTCGGGTCACATACAGGCTGTCAGTGACAGTATTCCTTACGGCCACAGTCCAAGCTATAAGCCTCAAAGAGGCCTCCGATACAATGAAGGCCTACCAAGGCCGCTCACAGGCTTGGGACCAACAGCTTCTGTGGAAGGGGTTCCTTTAAGGGAATATGGCCAGGGGGTCCGAAGGAGTCTCATCCAGTCACTTTCTGAGGGGGACATGAAGTCAACCCCACATGCCACCAGGGAGGCTGACCTGGTCTAAATTACTGACCTAGTCTTGCCAACAACTTGTCTGTCTCCTAAACAGAGTCTCTAACATATTTTGCCTCACTTGTGGAGGCGTCCGATAGAGAGGACTGCAGATAGTGGCAGTGGAGGAGTCCCAGTGGAGGCTGGGCACTCTAAAAGGGACCCTAATAAGGGGAGTAACGACCCTTTAAAGCAAGGGGAGTACAATCTTACGCTACCGGACTATCGAGGAGGCCTACTGTAAAGCCTAAGGTGCTTCGGCTCTAAGGGAGCATACTCAACCATCCAATCAAATGGGAGGGAGTAACTAATCTGTCTCTACCTGAGCCTGGGTGGTGAAGGGTGATAACATACGAGCTCTGGGTAGCAAAGTACTCTAATTAATGACCCTAACAAGGGGAGTACTATCAACATGACCCTGAGGAATGTATCAGGGTCGAGGCCTATTATCTTGTATTTTTTACAAGACAGATTTTATATTCTCTACTAAACCCAATGAAATGGGGGCCACAGTATGTGGCCAACGACATTCAACCTTATGACTTGAATTATTTTTTTCAAGGGGCTTTTGTTCAAGGGGCTTTTATTCAATGTCTGTTTGATGCTCAGCGGGAAAAAATCTTTTTTAATTTGAAGGCCTAGCTGGATATACTAGCTACAATACTCAGCTCTAAAGGGCGGAGCCCTGAGCACACTGCTTCTTACTTTCTAGAGAGAAAGGCCATGAGATATCTGCATTGGAGGCTTTTTGAAGATAGGCTGTTACCTATGCCTAGGCCTTGGCTAGACGACTCTTGTAGTAAGAGGAGGCCAGTACTAGGAAAAACAGGGATAAATCTCCTGATGGGCTCTAGCTCTATGGAACCTACACTCAGATACTGAGAGGCTCAAGGCAAGAACGCTTAGCAGACCGCCACCATTTTCCAAGTCACTAAGCCTAAGCCAGATATCGAGGCGGCCCAGGGAAGGCTGACACGTGAATATTATATGACTGAAGTTAAGAGCTATAATCTCAAAATGACTCTCAAAGTGAGAGGAGATCTGCTGCTCTAGTATAAGGTGGCTATTAAGGTGGACCGACGAGGGCCAAATGCTTGGCTCTGTAGTTCTACCTGGAGCTTGACAGAGTGGTGGCCTCAGTAGAATAACTCCCGCTAGGGAGGAAGCCATCTCACACAGAATGTCTGTTTGATGCTTAGATGAACGGTGGCCTGACTAGAGAATGTTCCATATAATAAAGCCAACCCGTTCACTACCACAGATTGGCACTACCCACTACATAAGCCTGATGCCTCTAACATAAGAGGAGGCATCTGGGAAAGGTATGCATAGCCTACCTATATATGGGAACTACAGGGCCCTAATTTTACCATCCTATAAAAACCCTACCTAACACCCCCATAATACTTTCTAACAGGGAACAGTGGTTTACTGTTCAACCTTACTAAAACTCTTGTAAAGAGAGAAGACCTACAGAGCTCAACCTGCTGCCTGTAGAGCGATGGTCTAAACGACATTCAAAAATGGAGGTCTTTCACCATAAAGAACTCAAAAGAGCGCACTTACTACCGAACCCGACGCCAGACCCACAGAAGGGTTCCATATTGAAGGAATAACTCATCATAGGTCCAGCCTCAGGGCTGATGAAGAAGCGGTCAGGGTGAGGAAGCGCAGATTCAGGCCGCAGTGTTATGCGGTCCAAATCTTTCAGCAGATCAGCCTGGTATGCTTGCAACACCGCCATTGTGTGCAAGGCATCACCAGCTAGACCTGCCGCGTAGGCCCTGCCATTTTAGCTCGACTCTCTCTTTTTTGTGGCTTAAAAAGCAGGGCTGGAGCACTCAGTGTCGTTGCCGCTCCAGTCGCGAGATATTTCCCGAACATCTTGTCAATTGGAGCATCAACACATACCTGTGTTCGCGCATCCCCTCAACATCAGCATAGTTTGTGCGCTGATGGCGATGAATGAGCACTGAATACGGGTTCTTCCATGCCTGTAGATCGGGCAGGAATGCAAGGCTCACGGAAAGAAACTGTTCGTCAAGTCTGCCACGAGCGGTCTCTTCCCTCACGCGCTCCTACGGCAGCAAAGCCTCGCTGAGCGCGTTCCATAACATTCACAACATACGCGGGGCAGGGTGGCTGTGAGAGATCGGTTTGTACAACCTCTTCACCCTCATCAGCATCTCCTGCTCTCTTGGGATGGTTGTTTTTATATCCTGCAGCTCACTCTCGTGAGCCTCCGAGGGGCGTGAGAGATTAACAATTCTCTCAAACTCCTCAGCGAGCTCCCTCTGAAACCGCACGATTCTAATAGGAAACTCAAAGTTGGCACAAGCAGATCCCTCAGGAACTGATCGTGTGTGCTCTCATCCCAAACAATAAACGCACAAGTTGTGTGTGTCATCAGGTGTCAAATATCTTAGACACGGTTCCACACACTTCCACTTCCACGTTTTCACAAGCCATGATTACCTTTTTGAAGTTTTCAGGTTGAAGCGTACAAACAAAACGCACATCATAGGCTGTCACCGGCCAAAAGGATTGCCGTGATTAGATAAGCGTTTCAGACACCGGTTCACGCCATCGACGCAGTGTGAATTCCCTTTCGAAAGGGAACTGCAACCTCAACCAGGCCACGTTAGTGTTACGCAACTCATCATTTACATTAGCTTTATATTTGTAGTCTTTGTAGACTGAATTCAGTGGAGTTTGCCGGCATTGTACAGTTAAACGCACCTGAAGTCACTCACTGTCAGTTAAACGCACCTGAAGTCACTCACCTGCTCTCCGTCGGCCTGCTCCTCCTCCTGTGTCAGAGCCGCCAGCTGATTGGCTCTCTGCTCCATCAGACTGACATACAGAATGGGATTGGACAGAGCCTCGATCACATCTGACACCACAAACACAGTCAGGACATGAACTCTTTCAGAAGAACTCATGAGCAGATATGAGTCTTAACGTACAAAAATGAAATGCTACAAACAACCTGTTTATTTGTCTCTCGTACCTGCGAAGGTGTCTGGGACGTAATCCTTGACCTCAGTGTAGACGAACACAGACGACAGCGTCAGCGCTTGGTTCTTCTCGTTCCTCAGACTGATGTAATGATATCCTGCAGCAGAGAGATGCGCTCTTTACCCATCAGCCACTGCACCGCAATGCCGGTTCACTTCGAGAGAAACTAAACAGATACTTGCCAGGTCGGATGGCACACACTGGGATGATGCGATGGCCGATACATCTCCCGTTGTCTTCGTACACAGCTATTCTCAGTGACGCGAGTGTGGGAAGGACCACCTGAAACAAACGGTTCATCAAAATCTGACTGTTTCATGATGATTTAGTGTTTGTTCACACATACTCTTTTGAAGACCATCGGCTCTTCATCCCACACTGGATTGACAGCATTGCTTTGGGACGTCTTGGTCTTGAACGCTTTCCGTTTGGTGTCCACCGGCAGGCCATACATTTCCACCTCCACGTAAACACCGACTCTCTTATCACACAGGAACTGAGCGGAGATGATCTGTTAATGACACGGGAACCTCATCAACACTGTGAGGAAGATCCAGACATTCACTCTCAATCTGATGGATTCGGCAGAAAATCACGATGCACTGAAATGAACATTGTGCAAACGTGCTGGATTTAAACGAGTCTTTCATTTCAGCCAGTGTTCTACAGTAATTCTGTATATGCAGAGATTACAGCAGATGCCCTCTATCACTGTGATCTTTCAATAACAGAGACGCAAACAAGTTTTAAAAACATTTGTCAAATACACTGACTACTGTATAGAAGAAAATACAGGTAACGAAAAACACTGTTATTAAAGTTTCCAGGCTGAGTACCTCCTAGTGCAAGCTTAAAGACACCAGATTCTAGTTATACTAGTTAATATCATATTCTTATTGATATTCAATATTCCTACAGTTCAGATTAATGAACTTAAGATGTAGAGATGGCTTGGGTTTTAAAAGTATTTATGAGGTTGGCACCCTATGAAGAGATTAGAATCAGTCAGCCATTCAGCTTTATTTACAGTATATAGCGCTTTTTACAATACAGATTGTTTCAAAACAGCTTTACAGAGATCACAGGAAAATAATGTTGTAATAATATTGCTAAATATAAAATTAAATGTCCCCAACTAAGCAAGCCAAAAGCCAATGGCGAAAAAGGCGAAGAAAGGCAAAGGACTGAACCTTGGATGACAGATAAGTGATTAAGGAATGTAGTGATTGTTTTAAGGTATTTAAAAGGGACAGAAATTATTATAATTTTGAGGAATTTAAATCTAAAAGAAACGAGGTAAGAGATAGTGACGTCATAGGCTGTCGCCGGCCAATAGGATTGCCGTGATTAGATAAGTGTTTCAGACACCGGTTGACGTGGAGGCGTTCCCCCCCAGAGCGCCAAGGTGACCTGAAGCAGGACATTCAAAAATGATGGAGAGTTTTGAATGATTAGGGTATAGGAGAAAGACAGAGGTCAATGGCTCTAGAATAGGCCTCAATGTAGATGGAAGACTGATGTCTGATCAGAAGAAGGTAGCGGACTATTTTAATAGTTTTTAACTACTGTTGCTAAAAAACTGCACACAAACTTCCAGCACAAACTGGGATTTTAATGAAGAATTAGTCAAGGAGTATTATGAAAAATGTAAAGGAGAGTAGTAAAGGAGAGTAATGCTTTTAAGAAGTTAAGGGAACTCAAAAGTAGTACAGCGACAGTGTTTGGTAATATTCCAGCGTAGTGAATTAAGGATTCAGCTAAAGTTATTACCCACACATCTCACACACACACACACACACACACACATACACACACACACACACACACTCACTCACTCACTGTCTGACTCACCTTCACAGACAGTGTGTGTGCTACGATCCCGTCGACTGTACTCTGTGTGAACGGGTCAAACTGCTTATCCGTCCGTCTCATGAACTCCGGCTTCAGTCTGTAGCCACATTTCCCGTTGTACTCGAAAATTCCCAGATTCAGCTGCATGGGAAGATCTGCCGATCACACACACACACACACACACACATACACAAACAGAGAGAGAACTTCATCACACACATCAGGGCTGATCCATAATGAAATCAGTCAATCGAGTCTGGCCGGTGCGCTGTGATGTTCCTCTACAGATGTAGAAGATCAGCAGTGAGTGAGTGAGTTAGTGTGTGTGTGAGTGAATGTGAGTGAGTGAGTGAGTGAGTGAG